TGTGTATTTCCTAACATGCCTCACCAGTGTGACGGGGAGCATCGAGGGGGGCACACACACACGCACACACACACACACACACACACACACACACACACACAGAGATTTGCGATGCTGCAGCCCCTTTATCGTTGTGCATTTCAAAACACGATTTGTTGTGCGAATGCTAACAACTAGTGACGCCCCTAGATCTGTGAGAGATGGCATCACCCGTCTCATGTTTTCCACCTCGAGTTGGCATTCCATTCTACCATTGATCGCTTCTTGTTTCTTGACCCAAGGTCCCAATAACCGGTTCCTTCCCCTACAGATCGAGTGTTCCCCATCAATCAAACAATCCAAGGTATGAACTCCATAGTCGAGCCAAAACAAATCTTTGAGAAGATTGGCCCAATAGAGCTATACCGAAGAAGGGAACGAAGTAATTCGATTTTACAAAATAAGACTTCGATGCCATTTTTTCTCGTTTCTCTCTCTCTCATACACACACACACACCAACACAAATTTTCAAGCTAAAAACTTTCAATTTATCAAAAGGTTTTTGGTTTATGGTGAACATTTTTTTCTCAAAATAAATTGAAAAGTATTCTTTGCCTGAAAGTTTGGGAACAATCTTGAAAAATTCAATACCAAATTTCAGTTTAATATAAATTAAAATATTATGCATTGCCTAAAATCTTATCTTTCAGTTTAACATGGCTCGAAACGATAATCGGAAAGTTATTTATGGTTGGATAGTTAAACTGGCTTATGATGTATGAACGGAAAAGTAAACTGAAATGTCACTAATGGACAAAACATTAAACCGAAAGTTTATTTTTGAGAAAATTATAAATCGAATTTGTTTGGTTTGCTTGAAATTAATTTGAAAGTTTATTTTTTAACAAAAAATAAATTGAATGTGTTGTTTTTTAAGAAAATTATGCATGAAATTTTCTCTCAATTTTTCAGGGGAAGTTTCACACGGGTTGTTAACCTATAAAGATGTCCATATGGTTCACATGCATGCTAGAGATAAACTTTGTATTTTGTCACTTATATTCTACTTGCACCCTACAAGAGGGCATCACAAGAATAAGTGTCCACCTCGCTACCATCATAGAAAGCAATGTGTGTTAATGACACCCACTTAAATGGCGTACTTGTGAAACCTCGAGGCAAGGTTTGAGGAATGTCTTAAACAACCAAGGGAGAAAAAAAGCTTTAGCCCTTTGAACCTTTGCAACTCGACGTAAGTGTCCATGCAATGACTTGCTGATTCTAGAGCCCGTGACCCGTTGACCCGAGGCTGTAACATAGTTAGGTTAGTTTTGTTATTTGATTGAGTGAGAGCTAACCGAAAGATTTGCTTGTGAGGAAAATTCACGAGGGACATATCTGTAAATTCGTAGAATTTCAGGCTCGCATTAACTCGAGTTTCCTACAACTACCCTAACCCGGAATAGCAGACCCGGGCTACCATTAGGACAGAAGGGCCTACAGGCCTATGCTGGTAGATGATCCTATAGCCTATCGACAGGAAGGGAGAGGCTGGAGAGGCCGAACAGAAACGGTACCGGTCAGTCCAGTGAGTTCGGTCTAGTTCGTGTTTAGGTTAGGGTAGACTATGAATAGGTCTAGGAAAAAAATGTTCGGGGCTTTTGGCAGTTGGTACCGTGTACATCGCAGCTGCGCAACGCATGAACTGGTGGTGGTACAGGTTCAGCGTTGGAGGAGACCGATATAGCCGGACCTTCGAAGCGTTGACCATAGTTGGGACCTGCGCCGTTCTTTGACAACAAGCGGGGCTGTTTAGAGGTCCGGGCTATCTGAAGTTTGTTGGTGGTAAGAGAAGTTGGTGCCCTATTGAACCCTCCTCAGGAGTAGGGTGGCAGGCTGTGTGGCGTTGCAGTCATAGCTGCAACTTTTATCCTCAGAAATCGTCTTTGTCAAGAAAGGTGGTGATGCTGCAGATTTCCATTTGGAAGGTCTTTTGGCACTTCATCGTCATCAGAGATTGTGGCGTTGGTCTTCTTCTTCATCTTGTGAGGCGCTTGGCGCCAGAGGCTTATTTTAGGGTGGCGCTTCCCTCCAGAGGCAGTATATGGGTGGCGTTGGTTATTTCGGGGACTCGGGGGTAGTGATAGCGATTATTTAGGATTTCGGGTTGAGGGAAGAAGTGTTGCTCATTTTTTAGCAGCGCATCACAGTTTTGAAGTTGTTCTAACAAATTGAGACTCTCATTTTTAAAAACAGTGCCGATAATATGGGTGAACTATCTTTGCTGCATTGTTTTTTGGATGTGATCTACTTTGTTTTCCCTTTGTGACTGATTGTGAGGATTCTTTGGAGTGAATTGCACTTTCAGTGTACTCTGTCATATCGCGTGGTCAAGTCTTCCACTGTGTTTCTATCTCCTTGTGTGAAACTCTCATCGTCTCCCCTTCCTTCTGTGTATGTATGGGCATACCTGAAAGTGTATGTGAGTGAGTGTTGGTCTTCAGACAACAAACAACTAGGTTCATAACAGTTGGTATCGCAACGATTGGATCCAGTCAGTGGAGCACTTGACGAGTTGGAGCAACTACCATCATCTGGCGAGACACCGAGTTGGACTCCATGGCGATTTGTCATCTTCTGTGTTGGCGAAAGTGAGGGTGGTGGTAGTAAGTGTGTGGCGAGAGGTGTTGGACAGAGAATGATTCACTCCTGCCCAGGGTTGTACAGGAGTGAGTTCGATTGGTGCTCAGAGGCCTGGGAGGCTCTGAGGAAGCTATTTTGAGCCTAACGATTCATCGAAGATTGCCGATTTGCAAGGAGGTGACCCCCAGGGAGTTGCGATTTTGGGATTGGGTTAACTTTCCCAATTCCCAAGCAGTGCATGGCTGGCTGAAGTACTGTTGCAATGAGTTGCTCAGTAATTGGCACCTGGGAAGTGAGGGGTGAAGAGCAATAGGGAAATTTATAGGACCACCAAGTTTAAGGGGATTTTGTGTGTGGGAACACGGGGAACTGTCAGGGGAAGAAATTGGCGAGATGGGTCTTAGAAGACAGTCATTGATAGGGTTTTGCTCAGTAATTGGCACCTGGGAGTCCAGATTCATTGAATATATTAGTGGGGGTGAAGCGCAATATGGAGATCTATAGGACGACCAAGTTTTAGGGGATTTTGTACGTGGGAATACGGGGAACTGTCAGGAGAAGAAATTGGCGAGATGGGTCTCAGAAGACAGCCATGGCTAGGGTTTTATTTATCCCCTTCAGAGAAGTACCTGAAGTAAGTGTGTTTCTTACTCTACTCTGTGTGGTGATTCTAGGGCTATTTTTAGATTAGCGAAATTTGGCTTGTCAGTCAGAAGACAGTTGAAAATCGAAATCCTGATAGTGAGACAACCTTAGCCAATTTCCTTTGCCCTACCTTGTTTGTTTTCTACTAACCTGGTTGACCCTCTCTCTGACTCAATTTTCATTTGTGATTGCTTTACGGTGTTGCGATTCATATTATATAGGGAATTGGATTGTTAAGGGTCACACGGTCAGGGATAATGAAAATTGGAATTCTTCGCCGCCATAACTGGAGCTTGGTCAGTTTAGGGTTGACCATAGTCGATTCTGTCTGTCAGAATTCAGTTTTGCTAGTCCGTGGTGAATCGCAACTCAATATTTAGCTTGTGTCTAAAATCATACTGACAAATTTGATGTCTTGAGTTAGTTATAGTGAATTATGTGATTCGCCATACCCTGGGTATGACATACAGGGTCATCCAGTGGTGAAGTCGGTAGGGTAAGTCTAAAAATAGCACACAATAAATTACTATATCTTGGTCATCTGTAATCACCTGTCAACCAATAATAGTCACTCTATTTAATTACAGTTTATTACTAATCATCCCAAGACTGCATCCTGAAAGTTATTAATACAGGATTTGCAGTAATTGCATTCAATTGATGTGTCAGGGCATGGAAAATCGTGAAATTGATTTTTGTCGAGTTGATTGTAATGTGACCCCCAACCCTCAAGCGGTCTGCAGAGACTGAGCACTTACCTGCTCATGCTAACCAACTTCTTTCCTCATTCAGATGACAACAATTGGACAAGTACTAGAGGGAAAATCCAATTATTGTTGACTTTCATTTTGTCTCTTATCCCTTACTATCTTTAAGTGAATAGCGGGTCTCGCATCACGCTCCCGCGAGAACCCGCATGCACTGTTGGGAACACCGCGGGACAGTCGGCCTTGGGCCTAACGAGGAACGTCTACCGTTGTTGATTTTTTTTTTCACGTCGGCGTCCTTGGCTCTATCCTACCATTGTTCGGATACACAAATCGACAGTGGCGGCCCTGTAGGATTGCGAAGCTTCTAACGCGTTTTTTTTTTTGTTTGTTTGTTTTTAGTTCGCACGTCAACCAGTTCTTCGGTTGTATCCCACCGTTGGCGGCCCCGTCGGATCGCGAATGTTCCATCGCGCCGTGTAGAAGTTCAGTTTTTTGTTTTTTTAATACTTTGCACGTCAGCCAGTTGAATGCCATCGCTGATGAATCCTTTCGCCCCATTGTGCAACGTTGGTGTTCGTCGACCGAAGAGAGAGAGAGAGAGAGAGAGAGAGAGAGAGAGAGAGAGAGAGCCGTGAGGTTGCGGGGTAGGGTCGGTAGAGGCGACGTTGGGTGTCGAAAAGGCAAGCGACTGAGCGGAGGGAGGGAGGA